CGCTGCGTTCGCGCGCGTATGACTTGGGCACTGGAAGCTTTCCTCATCGATCATATGTCGCTGCGCTGGGCCCTTGCGCTGCGGGAGCGTATATGCTACAGAAAAGGGAGCTTGCGGCTGACACCGACTGTAGGTGGACCGTTCTATCCTGATCTGCGATCACGAACAACCCATGCGGGCAAGTACGATCGTGGTGCGTTCTAATTCAAGCCTATTGCCTTATTTGTGTACAAGATTCGTGCAAATGGGTGTCGTCGTATTGCTCCTTGATCCGGATACGCTGCGGATCCGAACTAATTGGGATACTGGCCGCTCACGTATGCAAGCTCCCAAAAAAGGACGCACATGCTACGGCAAGCATCCCAGTGGAATATCTGGCTACTGTGAATCATCCCACTGCTCGCATCCAAAGGGTAATGCCGGGCGAAGGCCAAAATTTAGGGGCGCAAAGATACGCGCGTGTTGCCGTCGCAGCCGCTCAACTAATATGGCTTTGCGCCTTCGTACGGCAGTAGCCTAAATTCCTGAGTCACGATGACGTTGTGTTACATTGTGTATTCCTCTTGTCGCGCTGTTCTGATTTTCTTTTAGAGTTATTCGCACTATTCAATCGTTACTGTTATACATATGATTATTTCCTTCAAATCGTTGCTTTACACAAGCTTCCCATCTTATTCCGTTTTAGTTTATTGGTTCGTTCTTGAATGCCTTGTTCTTGTCATATTGCAGCCTTGCTCATATTATTTTATGTGCCTTGCCTATTTCGGTGCTACAGTATCTACTTCGTGCGTCTTCCACCAAATTGCCTTAACCAACAGATTCGTCATACCTCATTATCTAGTTCTCGCCTTCTGTATCAAAGCAAACACCAATTTTTATTTTTGAATATTCGAAATTTTGGCTTTACAAATTTGATCGTCATTGTGCATGTTGCCCGGTTGAATTCTAATCTCTAAATATCTCGGCAGTATTTTATATGGTGCTACAATCTGTTCTTGTTCTCAGTAAACGATTCTTTGACTTTGAGAGATGCTGACTATACAGAAGAGAAAACAACACTAACATTCATGTCGCATATGATACACATCGATAAAACCAGTAGTGATTCAACGATTAAAACTCGCTATCTACATGCACATTAGAACATAATTTACAAGGCGTAAAAATAGGGATTCCAACACCGCGGCTCGTGGTTTGTTACAGACATCCAAAGCGCTCACTTACTAGGGTTGACTTCAGGAGTTTGCTGGTAGACCACACATTGAACAATCCGGTCGTTGTTCGCTGTTCTCGAAAGTGCAATGTTTGCATGACCATGTTGTTGTAGAGGCTGACGCATGACCTTTGAGAAAGATAGCGATTAGCATACTTTGCAAAAGTGGATGTTGAGTAGACGAACGCCGGACTCATTCGTTTAGCCGCTAGCTCCGTGATTGGTCAAGCCAGTGATCTGACCAATCACAAAGCGGCTAAGCAGCTAACCGGATGAGCCTGCCTGAATAAACCTTGGTTTGAATGGTAAGGAATTTTAACAGTGGTATTTTCCAGTAAAAAGTATAAGAACCCTTCTTATTCGAAAAATTATACTTACTATGTCCCTGCTCGTGACATACAGCTACCAGCTGCTGCCAGTTGAGCGTTTCTCGTGCCCATTCAATTGCCATTTCTCGGTCTTGCGTAGAGACAGCAAAACACAATTTCTACAAAAAAGCGGAGAAATATAAAAAAAGATGAAAAAAGCCAAAGGATAATCACAAACATGGATTTCAGCTTCAGTAAACTGAACAAGATGATTTGTCATCAGATACAGCAAGAAATGGAAGTTTGTTGCTTGTTCGAGGAAATCATTTAGTGAATACTCGGAACAGTATTGACTCAGATTCGTTCCTCCCTAAATTCAAAAAATACGAGAAATAATAAGCAAAGAAAGAAACATAGATAAACCTGGACTTCTCCCATTGCTTCCCTGTTTTCGATAGCGAAGCGGGTACTTTTGGGAACTGAGAAAGTATATTGTGGCTCTTTAGGCATTCCGGTAGGAACATCAACCTAAAAATTCGAAAAAAACTGAAGCCCAAAGTACTTGAAGCAAAAAGGATAAATATTAGCACATACCAATAAGAATTCAACCGGCAATGGACGTCCATCCTTTAGCACTTCAGCACCATACTGATTTTTCTCCTCAAAATATTACTTGCACTTTCAGTAAGTGGCTCTGGCGATGATGACTCACTGTATATTGCACATCTGTCAAGTACTGCGTCTCCGTCAACGGCTTATCTCGTATATACGCGAGCTCCGGATGATTTGTGGGGCACAGAAGTTCCGCTTCAACCAGTGCAGTACACTGATTCGATACCTAGGGAGAGCTAGCTTTCAAGAGGGAAGGATACCAACTTGATTTGGTAAATAAAAAAGAGATGTATATTACTAGACTCGCCTTGAAACGCTGATTTCAAACCTGCTTTTCGGTTTTGCGAAACAACTATCCGAGCACTTATGAATCCTAAGAGTCCAAATTTGTCAAGCGTCAAGCGGCACAAAATCATCGAAAAGCTGTAAAACTTCTATGCGGTTCCAGTAGCTTTCCTCTTGATTATAGTCAAAACAATTTCATAGAATCAATCACATACTTTCACGCTTATGTGCAGCTTTCCGCTGATTTCATCCAGCTTAAGGCTTGCTCATGACTTTTTTCGAGGAGTTGTTCCGCAAAAAAGGGAAACAAATATGAATTCAGCGTTCAAAGACGAGTGTAGTGATATACATTCCTCTGCAATTTGCCAGATCAAGTTGGTGCTACCCTTTTCACATATAACTGTTGTAGTAAAGGAGGCCATAGAAAGTCGAGATACGGTGAAATAAGGTGAAAATCATACCTGCCAGCCATGGAAGTTGACTTGCTCCTGTTCATCACCACTAGCAACTACTGTAACGAACTTAGAGCCGAAGTGTCGATCAGAGCAGTAATCGGTGATGTTGGGGTGCTTTGATTGCAGGTAACCAGCGGTTATACATTCCTCGGCAGATAAAAAGAAGGATTCCTGAAAACAATAACAAAGTAACTATGGGTGACATAAGGAAAAAAAGTTTTTTTT